GATTCATGGGTAGTTGGCTCTAGGAAAAGTGGGAGATTGTTAGAGTAGGTGAACAGTGGGAGATTGTACGCAACGAAAAACAAAAATTTTATGCGATTTAAACAATTTAAAACACATAAACACATGCCCGATAATTGAAATCAATTAATTGCGTACCTTTGTGCTTCCGGCGAAATTAAAAACAACATACATGCGTAATTATTCAACCGAATTTAAATCAATAAGCATGCTCGCGTTCAAATAAAATAACATGCTCGCAAAAAATAAAACGATTTCATCTAATCACATAAAATCATACAATAACGAACATGAACATTTTATTTAAACGTAAACGAATCAAGAACAATTAATTCGTGAGTTTACCTCTAGAAGCGTGAGGTAGACGCTCTAAGCAAGACGGGATTGCTACGGAAACCAATCCGTACAATCCGGGGCAGCAGCGGTGGAGCGGCAGCAGCGGCAAGATGGGCCACGGCGGTGCGTGTGACTCACGCGCGGTCTTCGGGCGGCGCATGGGGATGCGTGCGGCTTCGGCTCATGTGCTGCTCCTCGATTCTTCGATCCTCGATCTTCCTCCTCTCGGTCACCTCGCATACTTCGATCTACTAAACACATGGCAATAGATACGTAATAGTTTGAAAAACGGAAGAAAAGAAGGAAGGAAAGAACTACCGAAAGTAATCGGCCAACGAATGGCCGCTTCCGGCGAAACGGTGACGGCGACGGCGGTGGTGGCCGTGGGAGAGGGTGGCCGATCGAGAGAGGCATCGGCTAGGGTTAGGGTTAACTCTTGTTTCTTTGTGCAAGACCTATAAATCAAGTATATATAGTGTCTTGCATAAAACCCTGGCGGGGCTTAAGTTGGACCGGGCCCAACAGCTTAAGTTCGTTAGTTCTTTTACTTGCTCGTCTCTCTCATTTCAATGATCGCAAAATTGTAACGATTATATTTTCGGAATCATTATAATGTCCTCGTCGTTACAAGTGCCAACTCTCGATTTCCAACTTTCCAAAAGTGGAAACCCTAATTCAGTGCACTTTCTAAATTTGGAAACTTCCCGATTTAGAAAGTTCACTAATACGTTTGCCTATTCTTTTCCTTTTCTTATTCTAATTCATAATTCCAAATTACGAATGATGGAACTGTTGGGGATCGTGCATGTATACGCAGCGGAATTTAAAAATTTTAGATCGAACTAGTTTCGATTACATGCATAAACTAATCACATAGTCAACGTACCTTAACGCTTCCGCCATACACATGGTAATTATTGATTTTTTATCAAAACATGTAAAACCGAAAAATATAAAACATGCTTGTTCATACAATTTCATAAATCATAATAACAATGAATTCACAACATCAACATGCTCGCAAGTAAATCATAAATCCAAATTTATAATATATTACGAGAGATTTCAGTTTACTTCTTGAAGCGTGGGATTTCGACGAATCGAAATCTAGAACCGAACACGTACAAGCTGCGAATTACCAATCCTCGGGGCAGCAACTCACGGCTGGAGCAAGCTGGTCCAGCAGATGGCAGACGGCGGCGCGTGGCAGACACGTGGCGGCGCGTGCGACTCACGCGAAAGGCGCGTGCGACTTCGGCGGCGGGGCAGCGGTCTTCCTCTCCTCCAATCAGGTTTCACCTCGTATATTTTGACCCACTTGAACTACAACACTAGAAGTAAACGAGTTAGATAAACAGCAAGCATAAACGAAGGAGAAGAGAGGAGAAAATCGAAGACAAGCGGCGGCGGCGCGGCGGGGAAGCGGCGGCGTCGCGGCGGGGAAGCGGCGGCGGCGCGGCGGGGCAGCGGCGGCCGAGAGAGCTGAGCGGCTAGGGCTGGACGGCTAGGGCTTTTTAGTGTAAAAAATCTGATCTCAAACTCTCTTTTGAGGTCTATTTATACTAGGGTTCTCAACCCTAGTAGGCTTTGTTAGAGTAGGTGACCAACACGCCAACATGTGGTTGTGGTCTCTCGTATTTATTATTGTAATAAACGAACCTTTATTCGTATTAATGATAAAACACCTTGGCATTCTATATCTTTGTCCCTTTGTCACAAGCATAGATATAGTCCTTACAGTTATTACAAGTCCTTACAGTTATTACAAATACTAGTAATTGATCGTTAGGATCGTGAGATATTTACTGAAGTATTATAACTGTTAAATGTGTTCCTAGTTGAAGGGTTACGCCACTAATGAGGATATCGGCCTTTCCCATTAAGACTAGCACTTAGTGTATGTGTACTGCATCTCATCAGTAAACGGTATTGTGATATCGGCATGCATAAGTGGGTGCTCGTAAGTTGACGAGTTCACTGAACTCCCTCACCCTAGAAATCTCTAAGTGGTTCCCAATAATCGAGTAGAGATATCTATGGTATAGTTGTACACCATTAGTCCTTATGACCTAGACATCACTGTGACTTCACTAGAGGACCAGCTGTATCGTGACCTGTCCCTGAGTTCCACCGAGGACCATCCCAAGGGCCAGTGTTCGTGCAGTCCGAAATCTAGTGGGAGGTCTGTGCATTGTAGTCGGGGATTCGATCGCTAGAATAGTCTTGGATGTCCTGTGTGTTCTGATAGTTTGTAATCATTCTAAGTCTCTGGCCAGAGCTGACTAAGTGATGATTAGAGAATTCGATTCTCTAAGTCATGCACGTGACGATTACAACACTTGGAACGATCGCACCGTCATCGAACATATAATGAGGTCTCGATGAACCAATGCCTCTAGTTCGATCGGGACATATGAATCGAAGGGACCGTACTGTACGTTAACTATATCTGAAGGTTCTTGCAGGCACTTCATTTGTATCTAGGGAATCATGACGCGTAGTTGCTAGACGCCAATCTTGATTCGTTGGGTGATTAAGGTGAAACGAGCTTCATCTTAATCGTAACTCTAAGGGACGAGTTTTGACCGCAAAGGGTTGTGGGCCCACGGCTAGCTTACACCTGAACCATCGAGGGTCACACTGCTCGTGCACATGAGATCTTTAAATAAACGGTCAGAGATAAAGTAAGTTTATCTTTGCATGATTGGAAGTCAATATGATTGGATCCAACATTCATAATTTGGAATTATGAATGAGAATAAGAAAAGGAAAAGAATAGGCGAACGTGTTAGTGAACTTTCTAAATCGGGAAGTTTCCAAATTTAGAAAGTGCACTGAACAAGGGTTTCCACTTTTGGAAAGTTGGAAAATGAAAGATGGCACTCGTAGTGACGAGGATATTATAATGATTCCGAAAATGTAATTGTTGCAATTTTCCGATCATTGAATTGAGAGAGACGTGCAAGTAAAGGAACTAACGAGCTTAAGCTGTTGGGCCCGGTCCAACTTAAGCCCGTTAGGGTTTTATGCAAGGGACTATAAATACTTGATTTATAGGCCTTGCACAAACACACAAGACCTAACCCTAACCCTAGCCGTCCACCTCTCTCTCTCGGCCTCTCTCTCCCGCGGCCACCACCGCCGTCAACGCCGCCGTTTCGCCGGAATCGGCCGTTCATCGGCCGATTACTTTGGTAGCTTCTTTCCTTCTCTTTTTCTTCCGTTTTTCTAACTATTACATGTCTAGTGCCACGTGTTTAGTAGATCGAAGTACCTTGTTCTCAAACAATGTGACCAAGGAAAGTCACACTCGATAGCCAGAATTCGCATTTGCTGAACTTGGCGTATAGTTGATGCGATCGGAGGGTTTGGAGTACGGTGCGAAGGTGAGACATATGATCTTCTTGGGTTTTGGAGTAGATGAGAATGTCGTCGATGAAGACAATCACGAACTGTTCCAAGTATTGATGAAAGACTCGGTTCATAAGGTCCATGAAAGCTGCGGGGGCGTTGGTTAGACCGAAGGGCATGACAACAAATTCATAATGGCCGTATCGGGTTCTGAAAGCCGTTTTGGGGATATCGGATTCCTTGATCTTGAGTTGGTGATAGCCGGATCGGAGATCGATTTTTGCGAAGACCGATGAGCCTTGAAGTTGGTCGAAGAGATCATCAATTCGAGGAAGAGGGTATTTATTCTTGATTGTGACTTTGTTGAGTTCACGGTAATCGATGCAAAGGCGGAGGGATCCGTCTTTCTTTTTGACAAAGAGGACCGGTGCGCCCCACGGGGAATGGCTGGGTCGAACATAGCCTTTGTCGAGCAATTCTTGGACTTGATCTTTCAGCTCCTTCAATTCCATCGGGGTCATACGGTATGGGGCTTTGGAAATTGGCGTAGCTCCGGGAATGAGATTGATTTCGAACTCTATTTCTCGATCGGGTGGAAGTCCGGGAATGTCATCGGGAAATACGTCGGGAAATTCTTGGACAACTCGAATGTCGGAAATTTGGGCTTTGGGATCGGACTCGGATTTTAGAATATCCACTAAGTAGCCGGAATGGCCTTTGTGAATGAGTTTGACTGCCTTGATCGCGGATATGATTGGAATCGAGGTCTTGGGTTGACTTCGGAATTTTAGGGTTTCACCGTTCAGAAGAGGAAAAATGACCGTTTTTGAGGCACAGTCGATTTGGGCTTTGAATTTGGTTAACCAATCCATGCCTAGTATAATTTTGAAGTTTTGGATCGGTAGGAGGATTAGATTGAAATTCATGGGTTGAGTATGTGCTCGGATTGGACAATTTATTATGACTAGTCTAGAGCACATTTCTTCGCCAGAGGGAATGAGAATTCGGTATTCGTAATTTAGTCGATTCGGTTCGAGATTTAAATGCGCAATTATGTCTTTCGATCTAAAGGAATGAGTAGAGCCGGAATCGATAAGAGCGTAAATGGGTTCTTCGAGGATAAATATAGTACCTGCGATCATAGAAGGGTCTTGTTCGATTTGTTCTTGAGTCATGGCGAACACTCGACCGGGGAAGTTCGGTGGGGGTTTCGGGCAGTCCTTCACCATGTGTCCGGGCTGATGACATCGAAAGCAACTCCTCGTTCCTTGTATGCATTCTCCGGAGTGACTCTTTCAACACTTTGGGCAGGTTGGCCTTGGCGGCGGCGGCGGTGGTCTGGTTGATTGACGGATGGGCTGCGTTCCTTTTCCTCGGAATGGACGGTTGCCAAACTTGTTCTTTTCCCACGGACGTTGGAAATTCGGAGTCGCTCGGCGTTTGTTTTGAATTTCTCCCTCGTCTTGGGCAGCCATGAGCGCTTTGTCTACGAGTTGGCAGAAAGTCGAGGCGTCGGACATACGAATGTCTCGGCGGATTTCGGGTTGGAGGCCACGAATGAAATGGTTCTTCTTTTCTTCGGCGTCTCGAGCGATGAATGGCGCGTAGAGGCAGCCACGTTCGAAACGGCGGATGTACTCGATCATGGGTAAGTCGCCTTGTCGGAGTTCGAGAAATTCTTTGAGTTTGTGGGCTCGCACGTCTTTCGAGAAATATTTTTCAAAAAATTGGACTTTGAAATCGGTCCATGGCAGAGTCTCGAGGTTCGTTCCTTCCTTGATTCCTTCCCACCAGTGACGAGCTTCGTTTCGGAGTAGGGATATGGCACAATGTACGCGGTCGCGGTCGGTCATTTGCATGTAGTCGTATATGACTTCGAGAGATTTGATCCACTCTTCGGCTATGGTGGGGTCGGTTCCACCGTGAAATTCTGATGGGTTCATTCGGAGGAATCATTCGTATATAGCTTGAGGTGCGTTATTTTGGGGCGGGGTTTGGTTACGTTGGAGAAGTTGTTCAATTTGACGTTGATGGTTTTGGGCTTGTTCACGGATTAAGTTTGAGAGATTGTTAATGGTTTGATTGGGGTCTTGGGGTTCATCGGCGGGATTGCTCGGGTTTGCTCGGGTCATACGTCTCGCCATTATTTCTATATTAATTATCATTAGTAAGTAAAGCAAATAAAACACATAAAGAAAATAATACACATACTTTACCGGATGGTCCGAGCTTCGCGTCTCGAGTAGTCTCTAAACCCGTGATGTTCGTACGAGTATCTATGAACCATGCTCTGATACCACCGTGTAGCACCCCCCCTTCTAGCTGGGCGATAAATCGAACCGGTTTATCGGAATATTCAAACTAGCGGAAGCAAAGGATCTCTTTGTAATTATTGAAACATTGGAATGGGGCGAAAATGCAATTATTAAAACTTTGCATTTTTTGAAAAACTTTCTTAGGTTGAATAGAGTTTTCGTTTCGAAATAAGTTTCAAGAGGAGGTTTTTCATTCGAGTGCTACAATATTACTATCGGTTTTTGGTTCGAGAGGAAATCAGAGTTTTGAAAGGTTATTTTGGTGAATAAATCGGAAATCACAAATGGAGGCGTGAGAATAGTAAAATTACGAAACTTACTATATCATAATAGGGGTTAAGTACGTTTCATAATGAAAATGAGTTCAAAAGGTACGAAAATGTTACGGTTTAAGATTACACCACCAAAAGAAAATAACCAAAAGTTTCTAGTATCGTTCATAGGTCCTCGTACGTCTTCCAAAAATTTCGGGCAAGACCTCGATCCACTACTCGATCCATCCCGGTTGAGGATTACTACTACCTGCAATTAAAAGACATCTATATGAGCTATAAAGCTCAGTAAGAAATCCGAGTAATATAGAACTTTGGAAATACGTTATACATAATATATAACATTATGTACCCATTCTTACCCACGTTTCGTACAACAACACAAGGAAATCGATAATACACTATCCACACAAAATCACGTACTTATGCAAAATGACTAAAATGCCCTTTTTGTGAAAATCATGAAAACACGTTTTTCGTTTTATTGGATCCGTGAAAGATTAATTTCTGTACCTGGATAATAAACTAGTTACGAGCCCGTTTTCACTAAGTGGAATCAAACCACTACACACATCATCCTAGTTGGATACCGGCCCACCATATCCGAGGTGTTTATTACCCGATATTCCATTAATCTTTCAAATAAAAATTATTTAATGCAACTTTTCGAAATAATGCTATAACCCACACATGACATCACAAATATCAATCAAGTGCCACAAAATCACACAAATCTTGCAATTTTACCACGTATTTGTAAATTGGGCAAAAATCCCAAATTCACACACATAAACACACAACCACACACGGCACACACACCATGCACAATCGGCACACACACATTCACACATTTTTCAGCACACACACACGCAGCCACCACATCAAACTTCACTATTTAATCATCAAACCATGCTTAAGAACAAATACCCCTTTTCACATCTTATTTAATGAACTTATTACCACTTCTAGGTAATAATCCATTTCAATAACTTTTCAAAGCCGTTAAACCACATCCAACAGCAATTAAAAGTACAAAACTACCAAAACTCATCACTCATAACTATTAAATCAAAACATAAACATTAAGGCACAAAACATATATATAAATGACATGCAAATTTTCCTAATTTCGAAATAATAGCAAACTAATTCCAAAAATCCCCAAATTAAATCCTAGAACTCCTAACTGACCCAAGTTTCAGATTCTGAAATTAATTTAAATTTTCACAAAGTTTCAAATTTTCTTGAAATAAAAAACTAGGAAAATCCCTTTTTCCATTTAAAAATCCAAATCTCTAATAAATCTCTAATTAATTTAAAAACTTGGTGAATAAAACTTTTTCCTATTTAATATTTGCTGGAAAACAGATCCAAACATTAAAATGTGAGATTTTTCGGAAATTGCAGTTTGGACCCAAAAGTTTCAAGATTTATACATGCAACCACACTAGAAGTTCAATTTCCACTTTTTTCATGAAAACTCCTAACAAATCTGAAATTCCACTTAACTAGATGCAGACACTGAAGTTGAAAAATTACTTTATGCAGAAATTTCGGAAATTACACATTTTACCCCAAAATCTCTAGATCTACACATGCAAGTCTACTAGAATTTCAAAACTCAATTTTTCTTACAAGAACTCCTTAAATCCGACATTGTTGGTTCAATAAATGCTGTAAAACAGTTTTGAAAACACTTTTAGGACTGACTTTACAAAAATTACAGATTCGGCCCAAAACTTTCGAAAATCTACACATGCAACCACATAAAAGTAAAAATTTAGTTTTTCTTGAAAACCCCTTTTTGAAATCTGAAATTTTTAAGGATTTTGACCAATAAAAGTTATATCTGCCCACTATCAACATAGATGATGCATGCAAGAACAAGAAATTAACAAGAAACACTCATTTTCCATTTTTCCCCAAAAAGCCCTAAATTTTCGAAATCTTTCCCAATCTTTTAAAATTTTATGAAAATCATTTCAATACTATTGATGCCCTTTAATTGCAGCAAGAAATCGGAATTTCTTACCTTACAATCGAAGAAAGAAAATAAGCGAAGGAAGAGAGGCTTTCAAGCACCGAAGTCCAACCAAGCCACCTTGATTGTGAAGGAAATGGTGTGAGCTTCAAGGAGGGAGGAGTTGTGATCTCCCGAAAGGGGACAAGTGGTTTTGATAGTGTTCTTGGAGTAGTCTAAGGCAAGTGTTAAATAAGGAACTCTCATTTTTATGTTGGGAATTTCTTTGTAAATATGAGGTGAGGTGGAGAGAGGAGAGGCCGATGGTGGTGGTGATTTGTTTCGGTGGGGAAAGGAGGAGAAGACAAGCAATGGCTGAGGTGTTGGAAAAAGAAAGATGAAGGTGTCTCTTCATCTTACTAATGAGAGTGTTGAGTGTAGGTTTAGTGAAAATGATGTGTATTTTGCCAAGTGTAATGCATGCCTAATTAGTCATAATTTAAATATATTTAAATTAAACCTCAACTTGCATCACAACACACACACACATTTCGGACATACACACACATATATAAATATATCATATATATGTAAATATATTCTAATGTATAATGCAAGTATTAGCATATATGTATGTATACGTATGCATGCATGTATGTACGTGTATGTATGTACGTACGTATATATAGATATATACAATCCACATAATTTACCAAGTTTCAAATAATTTATCAAATAAATAAAATACGCAATTATTCACATAAACCACGTAATTCACGAAATTCCACAGTATTTCAATTTACGGGAATTTAAATCATATAAATAACACATATAATAGCGCACGTAATTATTCACGTAAGTAACATAATTAAATTCACGTAATGCATATAATTAATATCACGTAATAATATTTCCTAAGGGTTCTCGAGTTAGAAATATTAGTCTCGGGTTTTAGGGTTTTCGGGTTTTGGAAAAGGTGGGGTGTTACAATATTTCTATTTTAATTGGTTTATTTTTAATCTTATAGGTACTAATCGAAAATTTTGTATCCATGAAGCAAAAATGATCAAAGGGTAAGAAAAGAGTTGCAATTAAGAAAATAAAATCAAATTAGAAGAGATGATCCCTCAACATCTTTGGTAGTGTCTACAAAGTCGAGCATATGTCTCTAATCCGGACTCCAAATCACCTGGTTTCGGCGTCATTAGAAAGCTATTTCAGTGGGTTAAAATTACTGTCTCACCGCAAATTTCCAAATTCAGACACGAACATGGTCAAAATTTGATACAAAAAATGATCATGAAAATACGTACTACAATTCATGGAAATGAATGCGCATCAAAAAATGTGCACAAAAATACTCGCTAGAACAGATACGCACAGAAGTAAAACTACAACAGCATGCACAAAAGTACTCAGGCAAAAGTGCATTCGCAAAATGGATCACGAAAACACAAACTACAGTCCTAGGACATTAATACAAATAACCAAACATGCACATACACACTCGCTCAAATGGACATGCACAATCGTACATGTAAAAAACCATGCGCAAAAGTGCATTCGCATCAACGTTCTTAAAAACACGACTACAAATACTAGGACTTTAATACGCATCAACAAACAACAGCAAAAACAGTAGATAAAAACATATAGTGGAGTGTAGAAATAACACTCTACGTTTACGTTTACGTGGAGTTTTGTTTGGATTAATTTATATTTATGTTTTAATTGGTGGATTTGGTATCTTATAGGTACAAATCGAAAATTAGGTATCAAGGAAGCAAAAATGTTCAAAGAGTAAGAAAAGAGTTGCAATAAAGAAAATAAAATCAAATTATAAGAGAGAATCCCTCTACATCATTGGTAGTGTTCACGAAGTGGAGCATATCTCTCTCATCCGGACTCCAAATCACCTGGTTCCGGCGGCATTAGAAAGCTATTTCAGTGGGCTACAATTCCTGTCTCACGAAAAATTTCCAAATTCGGACTCGAAGATTGTCAAAATTGGATACCAAAAGCGATCATGAAATGAGGTACTACAATTCAAGGACATGAATGCAGATCAAGAAACGTGCACAAAAACTGTTAGATTAGGTGACCAACAAGCCAACATGTGGGTGTGGTCTTTCCATTTATTCTTGTAATAAAAAAACATTTTTCGTATTAATGATAAAAACACCTTGGCATTCTATATCTTTGTCCGTTTGTCACAAACATAGATTTAGTCCTTACAGTTATTACAAGTACTAGTAATTGATCTTTAGGATCGTGAGATACTTTTTTTAGTATTGTAACTGTTAAACGTGTTCCTAGTCGAAGGGTTACGCCACCAATGAGGATATCGAACTTTCCCATTAAGACACTAGCACTTAGTGTATGTGTATTGCATCTCA